ATGATTCTAACCACCATGGATGGTGACGACCTTCCTCACCCCGTCAATGCAGACATAGTGAAAAGATACTACGCATAATCAAAGACCCGCTAGGTCGACTGCCCTAGGCAAAAATAAGGGCTTCCCGGCGAACCAAAAGGGTTCGGGCAAAAATAAGGGATGAAAATGGAAAAAACTGTACACTCGGCAAGTTGAAAACCTAAAAAGGCGGCTTGGGCAAAAAAGGGTATCTCGGTGGACTGAAAACCCGAAAGGGAGGTCCAGGAAAAAATTAGGGATTAAAGCGTAACGCTATGTCTCATTGGATCATCTTGCGACCAGACTTCAGTATCGACTATCAAGCTCGGACGGCGCCAATCAATCTGATCTATCTTCGACCAAGTAGCAAAGTAATGAGAAGCTCGAAGATATAAAGGCAATAGCAGAGTTGGAACCTAATGGGATTGTTTCACAAAGCTATTTTTCTTTCTTTTTTTCACAAATTGTAAATTCTATCCTTCGGCAGCATTCTCTTACTAGGACGTCAGCCTCCTGTACAAAACGCCTATTACACGCCAACTTCAAAAATCAATACAATTCATTTTTCACAAGAAATTTAAACTTATTTTTCTTTTCCTGTTTTGTTTTGCAAGAACGTCTAGTGAGTCATTTTCGATATATGCATTTGAAAATAATTGATGCTCATAAATATTTACATACAAAACAAGAGACAATTACTCGTAATTCCAGAAACAGGGGCAAATAAGAAGTGTACAAACCTTACAGTTTTTCTACCCATCAGGTACAGGGATAGAACCAGCTTGAGAATATAACTAAAGGTACATATATTCCCCTCAGAGTTGGAAGTATCCAAAGACAGTGGTGTTAACTCCCCCCAGCCGAGGTTCATAATCGCGAATGAGTCGGCAAATTTCTCCCCAGGCAGAGTTTATCTATCACCAGCAATAGAAGACTACCACCTGCTGAGTTTATTGCTCCCACGGGTAGAAATTCAATCCCCAACAGAGTTCATTATCACCAGCAACGGTAATTCATCCCCAGCGGAGTTATTTCTCCAAATCGGCAGATTGTCTAGCAGAATATCTTTCTTCCCCACAGAGTCTCTCTCGGCGGAATATTCTCAAGCAGAACAGACGCAAGTCTCCGGCTAATCATCTTCGGTCACTATCCCTAGCGAGAACGAAGAACTCAACTCCTTATACTCTCCATAGCAGTCCAGGGTTTATTCTCCCCAACTAGAGAATATCACAAGAACATTGCATATCCATACATCATGGCATGCGCATATGCATCATACAACATAATCTGATTTATTTTGAGAACATCATTAATAAATACATTTCATACATCATGACATTACATACGACTAAATCTTTACCTTTCAGGGAAATATACAACCAAATTCTCATAAGTTTTCTCTGGATCAGTCAAATCAATACTAAGATTTCTATTCCAGTTCAAGCTATGAAGCCCGGAAGTCGACTGGATAATATCTTGATATCTCCAGAATACTACAAAGCCTGGAGTCGACCAGATAGTGGTATCTCTTAATTACAAGCTATGAATCCCGGGAATCGACCAGAAAATAGCTTAACCCCTCAACAAGTTATTGTGAAGCCTTGAAATCGACCAGATAGCAATACCAGATACCATGAAGCTTGGAGATCGACCAGATAATGGTAAAAGACACTGAAGCCTGGGACACGACCAGATAACAATGTAAGGTATTGTGAAGCTTGGAGCACTACCAAATAGCAGTTTACCTGGCCAATTACTATGAAGCCCAGAAATCGACCGGATATTAGTATGCCTTAAATTCAAGTTGAAGCCCGGATGCGACCGGATAACCACTTGATTCCTTCTGAAGCCTGGAGAACGACCATATAATAATTGAGAAATTGCAAAGCCTGGAAGACGACCAGATAGCAATCTCATCCCCCCAGTAAGTCGTTGTGAATCCTGGAGCACGACCAGATAACAGTCAGTCTTATTTTCCTCAACAAATCACTGTAAAGCCTGGAGCACGACCAGATAGCAGTTCATTTTCACCTCCTAGACTAAGAGGTGATTCCCCAGTATAGTAACAGACAACTGAAGTTCCTAAAACTCTATTTCTCTCAAGACAGAGAACAACATTCCCCATCGTAGTCCTCCTCAACAACAGGTATACGGGTTCTCGCAAAGGAATCTCTTACGCGATCGACACTTCCTATGATGGCACCTTTAAGCCCATCTTCCGACATCAACCTCCAAATGGCATCCATAAGCCCATTCCCGATATTGCAAGACAAGTATCACTTCATGCGAGTGCAAATTTATGGGCACTCTAGTGTTCAATCATCTTCAACCTTCAGATCACGAAAGGCAGACAAGCCAATCTACATCCTCAGGTTTAAGAAGATTGAACAGGGGCAGCTGTTGTACCCCAAAATTTTCCCTCCCATATTTCTCAATACATTTCAAGTGAGGTCCTCAAATTGCTCAAGGAAGTCCAAGGGTTGACCAGACAAACCCTCTCCTAAGGCAGTCTACCCCAAATTAGGGTTTCAGTTTGCATCAAGATTTTTGAGTCCAAAGGATCCCAAATGCTCACCATTGTCCTAATATGTTCTCAAGATCATCCATACCAAGTTTCAAGCCTTGCAGAGGAAATTTGCTCAGTCAATTGCTCAAAGGCCTGAAAATCGACTGTGCTAGGGCGAAAGTCAATTGTGGTCCACATACAGTCAAACTTCAAGATTTTTGGTAAACATTCTCATTTTGAAGTATTATTCATCATTTTATCAAGGGTTGATCATGATTCCTCAAGGATTTCTCACAATTCATCAAAACCCAAAAGTTGCTAAATTAGGGTTTTGCAGGAAAAGTCAACTTAATTTTGACCAGGCATAACTTTCTCATACTTTATCAAAAATGACCCATCCAAATCTCATTTTGAATAGGATGCAATTCCATACAATTCATCTTCAGCTCCCAAGTTCAAAATATGCACTCACAAGAAGATATGAATTTGGACATTATAGGTCATTTTGAAAAGTCAACAAAAACACCTTTTGGGTCAAAGCTTCATACATGAACATAGAAGATTAAATTGATATGAGACAAAAAATGTTGCTTAGAGGACATCTCAAGATTTCTAAAAAGTCAAAGAACACATCTCTAGGGTCCAAATTGAGAAAGTTATGCATTGGCCAAATTGACCCTTTTTGCAAAATTGCCAAAAGTCAAATGTGTCCCAAATTGCATTTTTTGTCAAATGGGCCCAACTTTTTATGCTTTCACTGAGTTTGTAATGTGACCCATGATCCATGATCCTTCCGATTTGTAATTATTTTATTTGTCATTTATTTTGATTTTATTTCAATTAAATCAAATAAAATCAAAGTAAAATAGTAAAAATATCAAAAGCTAATCAAATCTTGAGATTTGGTGCATGTTTAGGTCTATTATACAGCTGGAAGTGAGATCAAATCATGCAAGGCTCATATGGACACAAAAGATTGCATTTTGCTTGATTTGGAAAGATTTGCACAAAGGATCAAATCATGAATCAATGATCTTAATTGGAAAAGATTTGATACAAGTTTGCAACCCAAATTCGTTCTAGGGTACATAAGGAACATTTGCATACCAAAAACAAGGAGGATGGAGGCGTGCAAGAGAGAACAAATTGCAAAAAATTCAAGAAAAGTGGCAAACTGATTTCCATGTTACAGCTCACTTCAAGGCGTTTTAACCATCCCAATCGCTTACTGGACATTCTAGGACCGTGTTGCAATCATCAACAAGCTTCTTCACACTCAGAATCGCGTTGTAAGTACCACAGGATTTTCATATTTTCTTGAAATCGAACACCACCATTCTGGCATCTTTAACGTGATTCATTAGCATATTCTTAATCCATGAGTTATTTGCAAGCTAATGGTTGTACTTAATTGCATTTTATTGACTATACATCAAGTTGCCATGGATAGGGTTCTAATTTCGTTTTTAGGGGTTTTGTGTATAGGAACAATTAGGCGTGGATAGTGGTACCATGATGCTCGTGAGGTTGCAACGAGTTAATTGGTACCACTGGTTGTGATTTATCATGCAGGGACAAGATTTTGGAGTGGACAAGGGTTGTACCTACTGTCATACCTCAATTTTTGACCTAAGATACCACCTCCCATATGTATCATTACATAGCAAGCGTTCACAAGCAATTTGACCTATTTTTGCCATTTTCTCGAGTCAGATTTAAAAAATTCATAACTTCTTCAAATTTCGATATTTTTTAGTGTTTCTTTTACATATGATTCTCCTTGACAACATCTACAACTTTTTTTTTTACAAGTCAAGAGCTGATTATGTTTGAAAAGCCACGGAAGAATGAAAACGTTAGAAGTCGCTTTATGAATTTAATGGAATTTGATCATGTGTTGTCCAACCTTTCCCAAATCGTGCATATCGCACATTTTTTCGTCTTTTATTTATCATTTTCGTCTTATTTGAAAAGAATCTAAAAAATATGTATTTAGTTCATGTCACTTTTTACTATCGCATTATTATTAGAAAAATCACAAAAAATATTTATAATTAGCATTATAGTATTTTAAATTCGAAATTCTTAATTCAAAATATATCAAAAAGTATTATAGTTTTATTGGTTTCATTTAGATTTTTATTTTAGTATAGATTTTAATCCAAAAAAATCTCAAAAAATATAGTTAATATCTTTTTCCTTTATTTTACATTTTTTAATTCTTTTTAGCCATTATAGTTTTAGCTTCTTTTAATCCAATATTAATTTTGATTTGATTCCAATTTTAATTCAATTTTTAAAATTAAATTAATATTAAAATTAAAATTAAATTAATTTTGTTTGCATCTTATTTTTATTATTATTATTCTTCTATTTTTGTATTGCTAACAAATTGCCTTTTATCATTATTATTACTATTGTCTTTGTTTTATTGTCTTATGTCCAAAATGTTGCTACAATGTTGTCCATAAATCTGCTATTGCTGTCCACACCAAGCCTTGTCTCTATCCAAGCATAAAGCTCCTATTGCCGCTGCCCATAAACCCCTATACAACTCTCTATCATCTGCAAAACAAGCCTTGTAAACCAGTCTATAACAATAGTCCAAAAACCTATTACACACCACAAAAAGATCAGTCCAAAAACATGTTGTTTCCCTGTACATATACATCCGAAATTGCATAGGCTTTGCACCAAATAAGCAACATAAATCCTGCATCATAAAGTAAAAATCAGCATACCACACTAGTCCAAAAACTCCCTCCAATTCCATCTCCCATCTGCTATAAAACAAGAGGAAGGCATTAGGAGATTTTTTTGGGGGGGAAGGAGAAAACTTACAACATACAGCAAGAAATACACCAAGAAGAAACTCAGAAAAAAACCAGTAGGGAAAGACATAAAGAAAATACTGTGCATACATAAACTTCTCCATAACTCAAAAAAACACTACCCCAATCCTTTGTAAATACCATCAGATTCATAATACACTACTGAGAACATGCAACTTCCTACAACCTTCACTCAACCTTCAAAAGTTAAAAAACCAGAGCAAAACCGACACACCTCTGTACTTGCAAATAACCGACACGAATCGATTTCAATAAAGCATACCAGTGACGACAACCACACAGACGAAACTGAAAGAGCACCATACCTGAATCTAGAGACAGCCTAGTCTCCGAAGGTAACCGTTTCCCATATTTTTATTTTTTTTGATGTTGTAACTTTTTTCTTCTTCGTGTGCCAGTAATTGTTGTTAATGCTTAAGTTGTTGTTTTTGTCTCAATACGAAATCGAAACAGAGAATCAAGTGAAAGAAACTAACTGCTATGGTTTCTCTTTCGAAAAAAACTAAGCAGATCGTTGTCGTTTGTTGTTCCAAGCCGTAAGAACAGACACGCGAGAGTTTGAACCGATTTAGTTAAGCTAGGAGCGAGAGACGAAATCGTAACTATCGATCGAGAGAAAAACTAAGAGTGAGTCCCGTGAGAAGCTTTGTTGTTATTGAACGATGGAAAGCATGGTGAGAGATGGTGTCATAACCGTGAGAATCCGTGAGCGCTTCTGTTGTAGTTTACACGAGAGAACCAAACCCGAAAGCTAAACTGAGCCATAATACAGATGAAAAATGAGTTGTTGTTGTTCAAACCAAACAGAGAGATTAGAATCTGAGAAACAGAGGCATGAGAGAAACTATGAACATAGTTGTTGTTATTTGCAGTAACAAAGCCGTGATATTGAGAGACGCCACGGAGTTTCGTTTTTTTGATTAGCGTGAGAATCTGTGGGAGGATTGATTTGAGAATCGTGTGAGATGAGGAATCGGGGGAAATTGATTGAGAGAATTGAGAGAAACCGATGAGATTTTGAGAGAGTTTATGCGTGAGAAGAAAAGAGAGATACCGTGTGATTTTGTTTTTACTCCTTCTAGGTTTCGTTTTAATAAAGATTAATTGGGAATTAAAATAAAAATGGGATCTTTTTCAAGGTAAAGTAACGGCTGCACACTTGATAGTATTTAGAATTTTGGTTTTTTTTCCTCGTGAATTCGTGAGGGCTTTCTTGACCCGGTCAAATTTGTTTTTTTTTTCTTCAGCCCTGATCTGCTTTTTTTTCTAACATCACACTCCCATTTGATGTTTCTCATTTTTGTTTTTTCTATTATTTTTTTTAATTGTTTTATTATATATTTTAGTTAGTAATTTTAGAATTTTTATTTGGTTTAGATTTGATCTTAGGTTTAATTTAATAAATTTAGATTTTTTTTTAATTTAGTAACTTTAAAATTTTATTTGGTTTAGATTTAATTTGATTTAAATTTAATATTAGAATTTCATTTGATTTTGAATTTTCATTTGATTTAGATTTAATTTAATAACTTTAGAATTTTATTTTGTTTTAGTTTTATTTTAGTAACTTTAAGATTTTTATTTTATTTAGATTTGACTTAGTAAATTTTAGAATTTTATTTGTTTTAGTTTTGACTTAGTAAACTTTAGAATTTTATTTTGTTTTAGTTTTATTTTAGTAACTTTAGGATTTTTATTTTATTTAGATTTGACTTAGTAAATTTTAGAATTTTATTTGTTTTAGTTTTAATTTAGTAAACTTTAGAATTCTAGTTGTTAGTTTTAGTTTAGAGACTTTAGAACTTTATTTGATTTAGAATTAGTTTAATGAGTTTATAATTTTTATTTGATTTAGAATTAGTTTAATAAGTTTAGAATTTTAATGGTTTAGAATTATTTTAATATTCTTTTAGAATTTTATTTGATTTAGATTTAGTTTAGTAACTTTGGAACTTTTTTTGTTTTAGATTAGCAACCTTGGAATTTTTATTTAGTTTAGATTTAATTTACTAATTTTAAAATTTTTTAATTTAGCTTAGATCTAATTTAGTAATTTTAGAACTATTTTTGCAACCTTAGAATTTGTAGTTAGTTTAGAATTTTTTTTTAGTAAGTAATCTTAAAATTTTTAATTTAGTTTAAATAACTTCTTTAGATAATTAGTTACATTCTCTTTTGTTTTATTTAAATATCTTTGTCATTTTAATTTCTCGATGCCTTTAGGTTATTAATCTGTTTCGTTATATTTATTTTCTTGTGAATTTTGATTGCTTATATTTTGATGTCTATTTTATTTTTGCTCGCTCGATTTAATCCAAGAGAAAAAATGATTAAATTTGTTGACTTCATGTCCTCAAATCCAATCGCGCGAATACCTTCATTTCATTGAAAACTTAAGATAATTTTCCCAAATATTCAATTTTTTCAAAACTCATACCTTTTAAGTCAAAACTTCGACATTAGGTCGTCGTATCTTCAAAAAACCGTCCGTACCCCTTTTTGGCCAAAACAATTTATTTTTAATCAAACAAACAAATTTTAATAAACAGATATTTCAAAAGGTTCCTATAGGATACTATAGATGCATTGGGTGCTAATACCTTCCCATTGTATAACCAACCCCCGAACTCTAGACCTCTTTTCAAAAAACGCATCGTATTTTCATTACTTTTAAGTATTATTTTACATTGCATATTTTAGGGTTTTATTTCGCTCTTTTCCCTTTTTCATTGGAAATAATAAAGCGCGGTGGCGACTCTTGCTTTTGTGAGTCAAGTTAATTAATAGCTTGATCTCCGATTTTCACCGCTACACCTACAGCCAGTGTCCGTAGGTAAAAGTAGTTTGTCTAAAACGACAGAGGCAACGAGGAAGATGATGGCGTGGCAGGTGGTGAATGGTCCATTCAAATTTTGCACGTTGTTTGATTTTAACCACTTGTTTTATCATATAATGTTTTTTTGTTGTTATTTGTACAAATAACATGGCCAGCTCAGATGGTAAGCATGCAGCATGATAATGCCAAAGGGCCTAGGTTCGATCCCCAGGTCCCAACTTCGCTTCATGTTATTTTTTCTTAATAAATTCAGGTGTGCTGATACCCCATGAAGTCCATCATGCACTCTCCAAATCTGGTCATCTAAGCCACCAGCATAGGCATGAGTCAAGCGCACGCATGGGATTGGAAAAGTCAAACAGGCCATCAGCATTTGGGCCCAGAAAGTTGCAAACAACGCCCCTCCCTTCTGCTATTTACCTCATGCCCATTCCTATTCTTTTTATGTTTCCTTTTATTTATTTAATTTGTTTAAATTATTTTCTAACAAAATTAATTTATTTTTTACACAAAAATCATAAAATCAAATTTCACAAATTTAGATTTAGGTTTTTCATGAGTTTATCAAATTTAATTTAATGTTAGTTTAATTTTAATTAGGATGATTCTAACTTTTTTTATATAATTAAAATCAATTAGAAAAATTAGGATTTGTTCTTGATTTAATTTTTATTTCTTTTTAGTAAAACAAAAATACAAAAATAGGTTGATTTAATTATTTTTCTTAATTAAAATCAACTAGTAATTAGGTTTTTTTATTTTATTTCAATTAAAACTTTACTTTTCTCAAAATAATCAAAAACCATAAAAAATGATTTTTCTTTTAAATTCCAATTAGACTTAGGTGGGGTCAAAACCCTAATTTTCTCGTTCTCGATTCATCACGCGCGTTTATTTATTTTTACAATATTAATGTAACTGCTCATGGCATGTAATAGTTTAAATTGGGATTTTCTATTATTTATCGATTTTACGGGGTTTTTGGCTATGTAATTAATCCCTACCCCGAAGCCTTGTAATAGCGTAGGTTTTATTTCTCGCATTTTAATTCTTGCAAATATTAACTGTTAGATGTATGTTAATAGGCTTGCATGCAAAAGACAAATAAAATTAAAATAGTAGATCGCCTTAATTGTGCAAAGATTAAATAACTGAAATCAAACACATGCACATGCTCACTCTTAGGGTATGCCTCACTTGGTTGCCTCGGAAAATAATGGTCATGTCCCTCGAAAATAGGGATACCCTTAGCAAAGACCCTCGGTTAAAATCATCATAAAGATCATGGTCCCTCGATGTCCCTCAAAGTTGCCTACGGTATATGATCTTATCCCTCGATGTTGCCTACAAATATATGATGACAGTCCCTTCGAAATGCTAAGGTATCCTTACATGTTGCCTTCAATGACCATTACGTCCCTTTCGATAGTCCCTCAAACATCCAACAACTAGGGTTACCTACTCACTAATAGTAGGATAACACGGTCTAAAGGATAGGAGGAAAAGAATGCCTTTTTTCGAGTAGGTAGATAACTGTTAGGTACTTGCTCAAAACGATAAATCTTTTACACCATACACTTTCAAACAATATTCTCAAACTAAAGTTTTCAAAAACAACTTCGTAACACTCTTGAGGACAGAAACAAGGGTTAAAACGAAGTAAAACAAAAATTTTCAAAACAAAGCATACACAAGCAGTTTTCAAGATGAGCAAGTACCTAAGAGCCCATGGAAAACCATGGATAGAAAGGGTGCTAACACCTTCCCTTTCTATAATCTACCCCCCGTACTCAAAATCTCGAAAAAGGATTTTTTCTGTACTTTTTTCCTTTCCGATTGGATGAAATAAAAGTCGGTGGAGACTCTTGCTTACTGCGACATTTTGCAAACAAAAAATTGCAAAACGCAAACCAGTATTAAACAGTCGGTTTTGCCACCGTATCACAACTATGTTCCTCAAACTGAACTCATTGGTGAGCTTGTGACTTCTGAGAATCAAGAATTCATATCAACTCCAAAGTTCACTCTAGAACAAAAGGCCATTTATGCTTCTTAGGTACTTATTCCTTCTTCCCTTTCTAGTAAAACCATAGGTTTTATGGGTCCCCTGATTCCTGCTGGGAATTTAGAAAAATTTGTAGAATTCCTTCCTGTTTATCGTGAAACCAAACCCATAGCTAATAAAACCAAGTCTCCTAAGAAAGACGACGAAGATTATGCTAGAAAACCAACGAAAACATTTAAGGT